GACAAAGAGAACTGTGTCCTCCTTCCATCAGACCCGTTCCACTGGGCATGGCTCCCCCAGGCTAAGGTGACCTTCTCCCAGGAGACCAGAGACCTGGTGCTGTCCCGCCTGTCGGATATGAACTTTGTCCAGGACCTCTGTGAGGACCTCTATGAGATGTTCAAGGTGCGAGTCCCCTTAAAACGTTCCTCTTCCCTTTGAGATTATCTAATAGTTCTATAAATAACAGGAGTTATTGTTTCTCTCTTCAGACGGATAAAGGCTTTGATAAAACCATGTTTGAGAGGCAGATGTCTGTAATGAGGGGACAGGTGAGTTTTCTGTTTGACTCTGTTCTTGTCTTGTATATCCTACCTGCTCTCCCTTCTCTCTCCTGTGCCCTACTTTCTGTTACTTTAGTTGTTTCCTTTTTAACCGCATCACTACCCATTGTAACCTAATTACAATGGGGCAATGCACCAGTACTCAGAATGCAACATGATTTCTGTATGCATTACATCGTGATTCTGTCTCCAGGTGTTGAATCTGACCCAGGCGCTGAAGGACGGGAAGAGCCCCATCCATCTGGTGCAGATGCCCCGGGTGGTGGTGGAGCGCAGCCGCTCAGGCGGTCATGGACGTGTGGTCACACTTGGCAACGCCTTCACACAAACCTTCCACTGCAAGCGCCCCTTTTTCACCTCTTGGTAGTCGGAGATGAGTGAGGAGGGCAGCTGTGGAGAGACTTCTGCAGCAGCTCTGTTTTTCTCCTGAAGTCAGGAAGCGAGGGAGAAGACGCGGTCCTTGCACTGGAGGCTGCTCCTGTTTCTTTGCCGAGAGAAGAAATGACGACGCGGAAGAAGTGAGACGGAGAGTAAGATGAAGAAACTTTGCTTCGCCCCATTCCACGTCGTGAAGAGAAGCTCGGGAGCTTGAGAGATTGGTTTACCGTTGTCTCCTAGAGACCTGGGGTCTGTTTGTGGTTACCATTGTGACTTGATAGGATAATCTGGGCTTTGTTTATTGTTAGAAGGCAAAAAGGATTTTTTTGAACTACCTAAAGTACCTACTGAAGCACCTTGCAAGGTCTCATAGTGGCGCTAATGGCCAAAGAAGAATGTGTCCCGTATGTTTGGGAATCTAAAGGTTTCACAGATCTCTCCAGAAAGTGATTTATTTATTTATCTTTGAATCCTGGACAGTGTTGTCCCTCGCCTGGGATTAAGTCTCAAACTGTTTGTTTTGCCTTGTAGGAGTTCTTATGAACAGATAGATGTGAACTTGCACTGCTGGAGGTGTTTGGTTCTACAGAGCTGGGTCACACTGCTCTTTACCTAGCGGTAGCTCTCAAAACCATCTGTTGAACAAACACAAACCCAGTGTCTTCACCCCTCACTACTGCCAAAACCTGTTTGTGGAAGGAGTATTTAACCGCCTCAAGGAAATTGTTAACATTGTTGAAACTTGAATATGAAATGTTGGGATGGAGGACGATGATGAACACGTTTGAATGTAATCTGTTTACGTCTTCTTTTCAGATTGTTGCTCCGAAACATTTCAACATGAGTGAACGCTGTAACGATGAATGTATTTCTTGTGTGAAATGTATTTAATTGCTGGTCAGCAGCTTTCTCTTGAACGTTGTGGCGCGAGGGTCGGCCCCTCACCTGTGCCCTTTATATTACACACGAGGCGGAAAACGCTGTTTCACACCAGTGATGCCCTTCTGTTTTCTTATGTATGCATCTTGAAATTTATATTCCAACTCGATGATTGTATAAGAAAAGTTGTATATTTAACAGATGAAAAAATAAAATTTGGGAAATTTGAATCTTGTTTGTTGCCTTCAAACAATGTTGACAAAGGTTTGTTCAGCGGAGCTCGGATGACTTGAGTCAGACGGTTTCCTGACGAGACCGCTGTAGGGGTAAGATAACAGTTGAACATAATTAATAAAACGACATTTCTTTTTTCTTTTTTTTAAGTCGTTTATTTTAACATTTTGAGACATTTTGATGTTGTAGAATCGCTGACAGTTGCAGAAATATAATCTCTTTTATGTCCATGTTTCAATATGTCATTCAACAAATCCGTGTAAAATAACTGCGCTCATGTGAATTTGGATTAATGTACGCCATACTTTAGAGGACAGCTGTAGAGCAGTGAAGGAGTCTTAAACCATTATCGGAAGGCTGCTTTAGATGTGTGTTTAATGCGGTTTGTCCCCGCTAGATGGTGCGCGTCAGTTTCCTCCTGAGTGGCTCCTCGGATGTTGCTCACAGAACTAGCAGATGTACAGTCACTAGGTTGTCAAAATATGCAGGCACGTATGACTCAGCAATGTCCAGAGTTAAACTACAGAGAGCTGACAACGCGAGCGTCACAGACCCAATCATTTAGCAAACAGCACCAGAGATGTGTGGAGAGAAGTAACCAGTGGAGAGTTTTATCTAGCCTTTTTATTCAGAACACAGAGGAACAGCTGGATACAGGCATTTAATATGAAGATATAAGGAATGAATCAAATCAATCCGAGCTCCATGGCGCTGTCAAAATTCATCACAATGCGATTACTTTTACTCGCAGCGGCGTTTCTCTTTACGCACGACTTCACCGGAGCTGTGCGCTCTGAGAAGTGCGCCTCCCGCTGCGACGTGAGCTCTTGTCCGAGCCCCAGCTGTCCCGGCGGGTACGTCCCGGATAGATGTAACTGCTGCCTGGCGTGTTCACCGCGCGAGGGGGACCCCTGCGGCCGCAAAAACGACCTGCCCTGCGGGGATGGCTTGGAGTGCAAGCTGCTCGCTGCGGGGAGGCGGCGAGGCAACAAGGGGATCTGCCGGTGTAAGAAGGAGCATGGAGTGTGCGGAAGCGACGGGAAAACGTATGGTAATATGTGTAAGATGAGAGCAGCCAGCCGTAAAGCCGAGAAGAACAGGAGACCCGCACTTAGCCAAGTGCACAAAGGACCCTGCGCACCTTCAAGCGCAGGTAGGGCAGCTTTGGGTGGTCAGAGGGCTACACATGGAGCGTTTGGGGAAAATGATCAAACAAATGCACAAAACGTCCTAAATGGACTATACATGTGTCTCTGGTGATCAACCAGGTGAAATACTTTGCAGGGCTTCCACCTCATCAAATCACTACTAATGACTGATGATGATGAAGATTACTTTTTATTTTATTTTCTTGAAAGAAATCAAGTAAAAACTGCCAAATATGATCTAATTTCCACTTGATCAATATCAATGTTTTCTCTCTTTATATGTTATTGTAAAGTGAACAGTGACTGTCGGACAGAAGAACAGTTTGAAGACTTGGGAAACTGTGATGGAGCCTTTTCACTATTTAGTGTTTTATAATCAATGCATCAAAGACAATAATTAACGGATTAATCAATAATGAAGATGATCCGTCATTGCAGCCCTAATCTGGAATTGTTAATATCTTTCTAACATACTTTGGAAATAGTTTCCATTGTATTTTACACTTGACTGGAAAACTTGAAAAAGATGCAGAGGATCCTCCTGAAGATGAGTCTTTCTCCTACTGACGTCCCAGTCGATCCTCGACTGGGACGTGTCACGTGTCGTAGTGTACCTGAGCAATACACTGAACCCCAGGCTCCCCGGGTGCCTGTCATTGGCAGCCCACTGCTCCCTACAGGGATGGGTCAAATGCAGAGACAAATTTCCCCCTTAAAGGGATCAAATATAGTACAATAAATTTAAAAAAATTTAAAAAAATGAAATACTGTAAATAGCAGTATATGAATAATTGTAGTTATCTCTGTACGTGTGAGTGAGTGAGTGAGTATATGTGTTAATGCAGAGCTTTCCTCACATCAACAGGTCGTCCTCAGGTCCATCCCAGCAGCCCTCGCTACAAATTCAACTTCATCGCTGACGTAGTGGAGAAGATAGCTCCTGCTGTTGTCCACATCGAACTGTTCATAAGGTGTGGCACGTGTCTGTGTAGAGAGATGTTAAAGCAGGAGGGAGTGTTGTGTGTTTTAGCAGAGCGTATGAAACAAACATCACAGAAGTTTATTCCTTAACCTTTAATTTGTAAATATTCTTGTGTTATTATCTGGAATATATATATATATATATATATATAAAGTGCTCATTAAGTGATGAATAGAAACTTGATACAAATTCAACACAACCTGGACCCAAAATAAGATGAGAATATTTTTGTCCTTTCTTTCTCATTCCGTCTCCTTCCTCTCTCTGTCTCCAGACATCCCCTGTTTGGTCGCCACGTGCGTCTCTCCAGTGGCTCTGGTTTCATTGTGACCCACTCAGGTGTGATTGTGACCAACGCTCACGTGGTAACCACAGAAGCCGCGGTGACCGGGAGGCCCCAGCTGCGCGTGCAGCTCCACGACGGCGACGCCTACGAGGCCTCGGTCCGAGACTTAGACAGGAAGGCGGACATCGCCACGATCAAGGTCGATCCCCAGGTGAGAGCGTTTACGTCAAGTCCAGAAGACATCATAACCACTTTCATTATCCAAAAGGATGTAAAACATCTTTACATTACAGACATTTCCACCCTAATACAAATACACATTCTGCATTATTGCACAACAAGCCATCGCCTGACACGTGTCTCTTCCAACTTCAGACACTTTTCTTCTAGACATTCTGACACAGCGAGATACTTTCAGAAACACCAGCTCTCTGACTCAGACACGGTGCTGATGTGTGTATTCTCACACCCATATCTCAAATACTTGGACAGTTTTGTCAGCATTAAACACGTCTTCATTTCTCTCCCGGTTGTCCCTTCATCTTTTGCATTTTTCTCTCTGTACAACTTTCCCAATGTGTCTCCTTCTGACATTGCTGTCTGTGTTGGTATGTTTGATCCGTCCATATTGGAGCAGAGAAAGCTCCCTGTGCTGTCTCTGGGCCGCTCAGCTGATCTGAGACCGGGGGAGTTTGTGGTTGCTATTGGCAGCCCGTTCGCCCTGCAGAACACCGTCACCACCGGCATCGTCAGCACCGCTCAGAGAGACGGCAAGGAGCTGGGCATCAAGGACTCAGACATAGACTACATCCAGACTGACGCTATTATTAATGTGAGGTCACAAGAACACACACACACACACATACCCCTGTACTTCTGTCTTTGTAAGAACCCTCATTGACTAGGGACCCGTAACCTTAACCTCAACCGTCACAACTAAAGGCGTAACCCCAACCCGAATTATAACCTGAACCGTAGATCCAAGTCTGAATCCTCAAACAGGCCTTTGAATAAGTGAGGAGTCCTCACTTTCCAAAAATGTCCTCACTCTGTGGTTAAAGAACTTGCTTTGGTCCTCACTATGTTGCAAGTACACGCACAGACACACACACACACACACACACGCACACGCACGCACACACACACACACACAGGTCATTCATTGAGGACAGATGCAGTTAGAGATCTTTTTGTTTTATATGGATATTATATATTTTGGTCGTTTGGATATGCGTCAAAAGAATGGATGTGTTTGTCTTTGTCTCATATTTCATCTTTTCTGTGAGAAGTTTGGAAATTCTGGAGGACCTCTTGTGAACTTGGTGAGTAGAGTTCATAACTTGATAATTTGATTGAGGTCCATACATTACTAACAAAACAAAATAAATCATATGTGCTTATGATCCCAACATTATAAAACTCTGTTACCACATTGGGCTGAAATGTATGCTGAGAGTCCAACAATATCATCACATAACATGATATTTACACATGATAACAACTACTGCTACTGCTTATTGTCCTCCAACACTTCTGTGAAAATATGGGATGTTTTGACTCTGCAATTCAAAAAATGATTTGATTTGAAATATTGGTTCTACACATAACAATTAAAAACCTGTTACATGAAAAAAATGCTAAAATAAATCACTCATTGCATCAACATCGACCCAAAACAACACAACAGACAGTAATGAAGCTCTCCGCTGATAGGCCGATCATAGGCCTCTGAGATCTGTTGAGCGATTCAAAGAACGAATGAAGTAAAAGCAAAATGTCAGTTCAGTCAGAATTTTAGACGAACATTTGCATAAATAATTGCAAGATTTTGCACAAGTGCCTTTATACAGTGTATAGCAATATTTAATGTGTTAAACTATCCACAATTTACCTAATAGATCATATTTGTAGTAATCAAAATAATATTTTAGCCCATATATTGAATATATTGTCCTAAATAAACACCAAGACTTGGACAGTATTTCAGATCTTGTCACATTTTTACTGTGTGTGTGTGTGTGTGTGTGTGTGTGTGTGTGTGTGTGTGTGTGTGTGTGTGTGTGTTCCCTTCAGGATGGTGAGGTGATAGGCATCAACACTCTGAAAGTGACAGCAGGGATATCCTTCGCTATACCCTCAGACAGAATCAGACGCTTCCTCACAGAGTCACAGACCAAACCCAGCAAAGGTCAGAGGTCAAAGCTTGAGCAGCACATAGAACGTAACAGCAAATAGTTTCTGTCTTTGTTGTTTGAGATCCCGATGTCTGTGAAGTGGATGTTTTATAGTATTACTCACTAAATCACACCCCAGTGGTTGTTGTGACAGAAAGGAGCATCTGTCTGCTGATGGGTCACATGCTTTATCCAACATTACGTTACACGTTTGTGTTGTTTTTAGAGGAATCAAAAGTAAAGATAGACATTTTTTAGGCATCAGGATGTTTACGTTTTCATTCCTTCCAGGCGAACCGAACCTGTCCTCTCTGTCGAGCCAACGCCTCTGAGGTCCAGCGGGATTCAGAGTGACCAGCTCCCTCAATCCCTGACTCCCTTTTGGACGCACCAACCAATCAGTGAACTTCTCTCCTTCTACCATACGCTTCCTCTCACACATTCTGCCACATAACTGGGACCAGTGCTCCTTATTCCTTCACTCTTCTTCATCCAGGACACTGGACAGTAATTCTCACCTGGGATCAGCACCTTTCTGCTGACTCTTGCTCACTTTATCGCTGGACTTCTGTTTGTTTTACTTTTCTACTACTCCGCCTCCTGCTCATGGTTACCCCCTGAATGGCCTTTGAAACACATACACACAGTTTAATGAGTGTGTTTCAGAGGAGGGCTTCATGTAAGTTGACGTTATAGTCAAACTAAATGGACAACCAGTCCAGACCATTGAGGACATCCATGATATGTTGCAGCGTAACCAGCCTCTCCTGCTTGAGACGTGAACTGTTTTCAGGTTTCTGGTAAAAAGCATTTGCAGCGTTTACCTTCTACTGTATATTTTGTTCAGTGGATTTTGATTTAAAGATTTGTTTTGGGTGTGTTTTGTCATAGAGACTCTTAAATAATTACAGTAGTTTATTGCATTATTCAAAATACTGCAGAGGAAAATATATTGCACTGTATATTACATGAAGTTTCAAAGAAGAGGCTGTGGGCTGTGTCTGTCTGTTCAGCAGCTGCTGTCCATCTGCACACTGCTTTGTTTATGTCTTCATCCCTTCTCCCTCTCACTCTGCCTTGGAAAGACATTCTAGTAATTTAAACAAACCTAAGCTGACACACACACACACACACACACACACACACACACTGAGCAAAGTGCGGCTGTTACTCACGATCATCCTTTCCTTTTGGTGATGGAAATCCTTATGCATAAAGATTTGTGAACCTTGAAGTTAAGGACAGAGATTCCTTCTGGGGCTTTGTTAGCGTTTTTAGATTAAAGCAAATCCAGCCTGAAACCAATAACAGCACCAGGCAGGCTTGGCAGCATTTGCTTCATGACAAAATGAAATGCAAGTTGACCTGAAAATGCTTTTCGTGGGCTTTACATGACACTTTCTTACTTTTGTTTCGTACAGATGTCTCCTACCATGATGACATTACCTAAACATGAGCCCACCTGATGTGTGCCTGTGTGTGCACACAGTCCATAAACTGAACAGATATAATCTTCACTGCGTATTTGAATAAAAACTGTGGCTTGTTACTATTGACTGCGACACTGTGAAAGCGTTACACAGAAGGACAATGGAAGAAAGAAAAGAGACGGGATACAGAATAATAAGAGACAATGGACAAATCACTACCATACCACCCACCAGGACTCTTCCTTTAACATGTGCTCCTCTCTGTGTGTGTGTGTGTGTGTGTGTGTCGCTCACCCAGTTGTTTGAGAGTGTGTGTGGTGTTTTCTAGTCTTCTTGCCGAGACGTATTGTGAAAGCAGAGAGCCAGACTACGTCAGTAGGGCCACACAGGGGACACAGCTGTTTGTCCTTAAATGGACAAAATCAAGACAGCGTCACTGAGCTCACACCAAAACAAAACTTCTCACACTGCCTGTTTCTATGCTAAATTTAACAATATGCATGCATGAAATACATACATTTATGATGGAATATACCATACATGTCCCATAAGGCCCCGTTTAAGCAGTGGTTGAGTTAATGTCTCACCATCTAGAGGCCAAATGAAGTCCAGTCTGGTTTAAATAAAACACAAGTTATGATTCCTGAATATGCCACTAGATGGGGTGTTGGGTATAATAATCTGCTCCTGACGTGGCAACTGATGCTCTGATTATAAGGCTACTGAACATGTGAAGTCCAGTGGATGGAACTGTCCATTTATAGCTCTAGTTTCTAGCTGGTGAACCTAAAGTAGAGGGCACTGGATGAAGCTCTATCATTACAGTGATGACCATATTCACCAAAGTCAAATGTTAATCAGATATACATTTTCAGGTAAAAGGGGATTTACAGTAATATCATTGAAAATGTTGTAATGACTTTATGGAGACTTTGGGACTTTTGTACCTTCTAGTTGTGTTCTGATGATGTCACCGGGGTTATCTAGTTGTGTTCTGATGATGTCACCGGGGTTATCTCGGCTCGGGCGTGGAGACAACAAACAATGACAGAGAGCCTGCGTTATGAAACTGGAGGTTTGTAGTTTGAAAGACTTTAGTGATTACAAGTAAGGAAGGGAAGTACATTTTGAGGTACTTGTACTTTACTTGAGTAATTCCACAGTATTCTAATTTACACTTACTACATTGTACTTTTTACTCCACTAAGTTTATTTAGTTACTTTTCAGATTATTTAGATTATTGATGCAAACTATAATCAGCAAATAAATTAGGATCTATGAAGTATACAGTATGTTAAAAGATACCCAGTAGTGTATAAAGTATAGAAACTAGATCCACCTTTACTGCCTCATTAAAAGAATGCTGACACGAATGCATCAATACTTTAAATTCAAAAGATATATTATTCTGAAATGGACCTTACTGCGTAATGAGTACTTTCAGTTTTGGTATTTACATACTTCTGTACTTTTACTTACTGAAATGCAGGACTTTCACTTGTATTAGTAAAGATCTGAGTGCTTCTTTCATTACTGTGTGTGTGTGTGTGTGTGTGTGTGAGTAAGATAAGACTGGAACAGTACATTTACAGTCTGTGGTTTCATTGAATGTCTAGCGAGCTGAAGAGTCTGCGTCACAGTGAAGTTGTGAGTTGAGGAACTTTGGAGACGCAGATGGCAGACATGGGGCATCTGGCCCGGCAGCAGAGCTGTAGACAGATTGGACTCAATCCTGTTACATTGAGCCAGGACAGTAGTATGGGCCGAACTACTTCCATCTGTCTGGAGTTCAACTCTCACTGTGACTCAGCGCCTTGCTGACCACCGTGGGCAACTTACTTCTTAACGGAAACCGAGAAGAGAACTTTAGAGCAGACATATGGAGGGAAAAAAGAAAGTCTTTCAACCCACCTCACAAAGATACACCCACGTAAACACACAATCAAATACAGCTAAAGGCAACATCTCTCAAACAGTAAGGCTCCACAACTGGACAACTAGTCTTGGAAAAAGCTCAGTAGATCACGTGTTGCTGTGTTGAGTGCTCCCACCTCCACAAATATGATAAAACGGTACATTCATGGGCAAATATGTACCTGCAAGGACAGTGTTTGTCCTTATTACAGCAATTGCTCAGAATACCAAGGCCTCATGAGAAGTGGAATTCCAGGCATTCCTGGCAAAGTGTGATGTGTCTTCTCTGGAGATGCTCTGTCTCTGTCCACCGTCACTCCAGAGGTGTTCTTTGACTGAAGTGAGACGGATGACTCCTCTCTTGTTTGTGGGTTGACTTTTCTTCACTTTATTTTGCTCGCAGATAATGTTACAGACACTTCCAGCAAGATTTTCCGATGACGTCAATGTGAATAGTTTGGCAGCACCTAGTGGTCGTTTTTGGTGCCAAACCAAATGCACAGCGTCACCTGAGCTCGCGTCTCAAAGCTCTTATTGAAATCAGGTGTGCTGAAAATAAGTGGACTGCAGGAAGACATCACAAGGACACAGAGTTTAGATATTCTCATCTTTCTTTCTTTACTTTTAGTTTCTTACTTCCACATCTCTCGTTCTGCTTTGTTTCCTCTAAAGGAAGATACGTCTCCAGTGTCTCTTCTTTGAGGTGCTAAAGGTAAATCATAAAATCAGCACAAGCAGAGAGGACACTGCTCCCCTTTTCTCCCCAAAGACTTGTCATCTGTTTTTTCTGCGTGTGAATATAAATCCTCAGGTGAGGGAGTTGTTTAATATTGCAGCACACGTGAATATTCTCAGGGCTCCCAGGCGATGCATGAAAACGAGTTGTTACAATAGACATCCATGCTACCAGGCCAAGAGCTTTAACTTTCACTTCATTCTTTTGGTTTCAATGGAATCAATCTTCTCATTAAATGTATGACAAGAAAGCGAAGAAGCGTATTTCCCAAAATGTTGAAGTATTCCTTAAAGATTCAAGTATTTATGTCTCTGAGCAAAACTGTTCAGCAAATCTCTTTCAAAACAGAGATAGAAGCCGGCGCTTTGCTGTGCTTCTACACAAATTCCTCAGAACTGGATGGCCTCATGTTCACCGCAGAGAAAAGGACACAGACACACACACACACACACACACACACACACACACTGCAGAGAAAGAGAGACACACACACACTGAAGTGAGCCCAGACATTCTTTTGTCAGGGCTCTAGTGATAGCTAAATCCTGTGAGCCCTTCCTCTGTTTCTCAACTCCTTCTTTCTGGCAGACTGCTGACTCATGCTTTCTCCTCCTCCTCCTCCCCCCCTCTCTCCCCCCCACTCCCTCTCTCTCTCTCTGTTTAAAAATCCAGTCTGCAGCATTTTCCCTCAACTCCTCTTCTTTCTTACTTTTGCATTTCTTGGGATTTGCAATAGTTCAGCTGCATGTCCTCATCTTGTTGAGACGTCTGCATGTGTGTGCACTCGCGTAGACGATATTATCATAAGTGTATGTATCGTTTAAGCTCATGAATTGTGTGTGTTGGTGGGTTTGATGTGTGTAAGCAGACTTAATCACCCCTCCTGGGCAGTTTGTTTAGTGTTTGAAGAGTAATTGCCTCCTACTGAAGCCGGCTAAGTCTTTTAATGAGAGTCATGCTTGCCGGGCCCAAAGCTAGATGGCTGAAGTTAGCACTTGCGTGGAAACCAGCATTGGAAAAGCTTCCTCTTGTCTTTTTGCCTTTTTTTCCAGTTATGAAATATTTACTTGGTTACCTTGAGAGTTTTTGCTGTGGTTTCACTGTCAGCCGGTCGTGTGATTGGTCTGCTGGAAATGGCAAAACAATGCTGTTTCCTGACAGTATTTTTGGGATACAGCATCCAGAAGTTAAAAGCAGGAGAAAATAGGAGACGTCTGGAGCACGGATTTGTGAAAATAAACAACAAGCCAGCCGAGGAAAGCATAGACTGTAATCTTGGATAACTGATAAGAAGCACATGTTCTTTATTGGCTTGAGTGGGGCTAGAACTGTTATAGCTATCAACAATAAGCTACTCGCTGGATTGCAAAGAAAATACAAAACCAAAATGAGCCCAAAGGAGAGTCAACTAGAAGAAAATGTGTGACAATTCTGAAAAGTATCCGAGTGAAAGTGCATTTATCAAAAAGGGTAAAGTGACCACTTCTTGTACTGTAGCTGTTTACAAGTTGAATTGGCTTCATGGGATAAAAGCAAACTTCCTTCTCTTTCAATAAAGAAAGTCTAGAATGTGTTCCTGATGGCATGAGCTTACGTTGCTGTGAGGAACTTTTAACATGTTATGAAACGGTCTCAATGTAATACTGATACCTCGATATGACCGACATCAGCAAACAGGACCATCAACAAGAAGATTGGTTATTTCTATATAGTTATTCTTAACGCTCGTCATCGCTGCCACCGGCTCCGATTCCACGCAAAATGAAATCCTGCAGGTTCACCAGAAACTTGATTTCAACACTACGTTATGAATGACTGCTGACACAATAACTTTAACTCACTCACTCCGGCAACAGTGACTCCTAAATAAACACCAAAATAACAAGTACCCGTGAAGATGCATAAATAAAATAAATGTCTTCTTGTCTTTACGTAATCCTGTAATTGCCTAAACATTTCATGAGACTGTGATTTTCAGAACATGATTAGTAATGCCTTTGATTCTGATCTTTCATTGAGAGGCACCATCAGCAAAACTCAGGCGCTCATCTCCCACAAAGCAGCATGCATGCGTGTTAATAATGTGATAAGCCTGTACAAATGCTGGGAAAACACATATCTAAAATATATAATTGAAAATAACACCAGATTAAGAACTCAGGCCAAACAACCTCTCGCTTCACCATGAAAACAAACTGCAGATTTGTGTGTGAACAGATAAAAACAATTCCATTCCGTTGATGAAGCGGACGTTGGTGCAGAGCCACAACACACGAGAGAGAGAGAGAGAGAGAGAGAGAGAGAGAGAGAGCATGGATGACAATGAGGGTACGTTTTTTGCGAGTGTCTGTGGGAGTTCTCGTTTCTCTGCGCTTGCTCTGCAGCTCACATGGCAAAGACCTATTTTTACACCCACACTCCCGCGCTCCACAAACACTCACCCATGACATTTGTTTTCTTTCTGTTTCTTCCTCACATCGTCTTCTTCTCATCGCACATCTCTTACTCTTCTCTCATCACCACCATCATCACCATCATCCCTAGGCAGGGACGTGCTACCATCACCTCCACAAAATGCTCTCAGGTCTTTCGAGTGTCGAATAGAATTGAAAGGAGCGGACAGATCAGGATCACAGCTGCCAGAGAGGAGTGCCTCTCATTTCTCAGTCACTAGGAGACTTTAGCAGAGAGCTGCGCCCAGGGGTGCAAACTGTTGAAGATTTATTCAAATGTAAATTTCGGTTCAAAGTAGACACCTTCGAAACTAAATTCACCCACAAGAACCAAGCCTCAGGAGGACTGCGGTTGACTGGTGTGCAGCAGTGAGGATGAGCGATGGATGTATGGACAGAGAGTAAGATACTGTAGTTGTTCAAAGGGAGGCGAAGTTAAGGTGAGGAGGAAGCTCCATACTGTGCTGACGACCGTGGGAATTGTGGTGTTATGTAAGGGTGCACACACTCACGGCATATACAGACAGTCACAGAGGCAGGGGCAGTGGCTTAGGGGGAAGTCGGATGGACCCCTCGTCTGCTAACAGGACCTCTTAAGCGCTTCTGCCATCAGCAGTCTGTTGCTTGCACAACAGCCTCTCCAGCCCTGCGAACCCAGAGTGTACACGTGACCACTAAGAGGGTTCCTTCTGGTTGAAGCGTGATTTCTCATTCCCTCTCTTCCTCTTTTTATCCCTCTTTTTCTCTCTCTCTCTCTCCGTCTCTCTCCTTCTTATCATCAAAGGGGTTTTTCCTTCACAGCAAAATAAGCCATTCAGATAACAGGCTCAGGGACAGCACTTCTACTGAGGATAGCAGCGTTTACTGCATATACTGTGAATGTGAGCCTCTAACAACCTGCTAATGACTGAATATCAATGGAATGTTTGGGGGTGAGGATGGATAGACAGCATCTGGGGATCTGCTGGAAAGAGAAGCTATACGCAGCAAGACAACACTGTATATATAATGTGTACATACTGAGGAAACAGCTGCCCACGCATCCAGCTGCACACACTCATGTTTGCAGAGGTGGAGATTTAAAGTGTCTAAATAAAAACAAAACAAACAAAGAAGTACAATACACATTGTTAGGCTATATTCCTCTTCATGTATGCATTGACTGTGTCATAATGAAATGAAAAGCAAGAATTAAAAGTACAATTAATAATTGAATTCATTGGTTAAGAGTAAGGAACTGTCTGGGTGTCTATTATTATCTCTGCCAAGAGGATCATTCCATCAGTCGCATGTGTGCACTCGTCCTGTGAGTAAGTGAGTGTGCGCCTCTGTGTCTGTCCACAGCTAATCTGGCATTGTGCTGCAGCAAACTGCATAATGAGATCATCGACACTGGCCAGTTATGGCTGCCGACTCAAGTCTGATGAGTTTAATTTAGTTTTTGGCAAGATTGCATGACGTGCCTTATATGACAACTTTGATCCGATTGGCTGCATTCATCGCTGCTTGTTTTGAAGTTTGAAGGTAAAGTGTTTTACGACGCCTCACATTCAATCACACGATACAGTCGTGGTAAATACAGACACACCTGGTGGAAATGTGCACTCAGTAGAGTGCACATTTCTAATTGTATTTCTTTGTTTTATGTAGGAATTTCAAGTCTTCCATATTAAAATCAATTAGCATTATGATTTAGATGGTGTATTGAAATAAAGCTCAGGGAAGGCAAGTCCATCCATTTTCCCATCCATCTATCCTGGACATGTCCTTCCTCCCCTTAATCATTTTTGTTCAGCCTCCTCTCATACTTCCCCTCCTCTTTCCTCTACTCAAGCTGCATTTGCAATGCAGATCCTTTCTGACACAATGTCTGTTATTCTTCACGAACAGTATTTAAATGAGCGCGCTATGTGGCAGATGGTTTCTTACTATTAGATCAACACAAATCAGCGCTAAAGAAGATGAAGTTCAAAGAGTGATGAAACCACCATCGATTTAGTGTTGCTATGGAGATTAGTTATTCTGTGTGTGTGTGTGTGTGTGTGTGTGTGTGTGTGTGTGTGTGTGTGCGTGCTTCACCTGATGTTTTGGGTGTGTGGACTAAATCTGTCACTGTGGTCACAGCTTAGGGTCTATGTGCTCATGTTGATCCACTGGAAGGTGTTTAGAGGAAATATACTGTTTGTCAAGGAGAGGATGTAAAGATGTTCTCTCTGCCTCTCTCTCTCTCTCTCTCTCTCTCTCTCTCTCTCTCTCTCTCTCTC